AAAACACTGTAAATTACATGGTATTCGCGTGTTGCGCGCGTAATTACCCCCCTACCCCCCCCCACCCCCCTGCCAACCCAAAACCAAAAAGTGGCACGCCTTCCACGGCGGCGAAAAGCTCGAAGGCCAATAACAACCGTTTGGATCATCGTTTATGGGCTTGGGTCATTATTCTTACAGATTTGTTGAAGTCCAGGTAGAAATGAAGCAAATTTGTTACCATCCCCTTTTAGCTGACCACATACGGATGATTGTCAAATGCGTGGTCCCTCTTGGGTGTGCGGCCGTATTATGATGGGACCTCGCGCAGGGGATTTAGGGTTTGGTGCTGCCCAAAGGGTTCATGTAGGTGTATAGTATATACTTAGGGCCAGAAGGGTTCCCATATAGCTACTTCAAGGCGCAAGTACATATTATTATATACCTACCCACCTTAAACCCTGAAAACCCAGTGAGGAGAATTTGTTTACGTCGGCTTCGCAAAACACGATGACCTACGTCATGCGGCTTTCTCATTGTAAACCCGCACAGCGCGCCCTTGACTCCTAATCCAATACCCCAGCAGCCACGAGTCCTAAATCACCAAACACACTTAACTCCCTAAACCGTAATCCCTAATCCCTAAACCATCCAATATTCCTGCAACCCCGAATACCTAACCTCCACGCGTCATACACCCGCTGAACCCGTGACCCAGTGCTTACATCAACAAACACTCTCATACAGGGTTTAGGGTGTAGGGTATAGGGTTTAGGGTCTAGAGTTTAGCGTTTAGGTTTAGGGTCTAGGGTTTAGGCTATAGCGTTTAGGGTATAGTATTTAGGGTATAGCGTTTAGGGTACAAGGTTCAGGGTACCACTACTACGTCCTTCCTTTCATAGACACTGTGCGGGAAATCATTTGTAACTTCCTACATTCGAGCCAAGAATTGGGTCTCTCTAACTCCTCTACTATTCTGAATCTCTCACATTACTCCGCTTAAGGGTCCAAGTACTCAAACGGTCCCAAAATACTATAGTCCTTATTATAGGAACCGCCCAAAGATACCCCTTATTTTAGGAAACCCCCATAGGGTGTGCTAATATCCAACTGCTTGGGCATGGCCTCGCGCTGCCCCGATCAAATCGGACTCGCCACCACATGGCATCCAAGAGAAGTGGCCTTCTTTCATGTGAGCTATGGTTTGGGTACTGCCCCCCCTCAGTAACAGTTGGATAATATTTAGAATATAGTTATATATAGCCCTTCATAGGACCCCTAATATAGTTATAGACTGTTACTGGGTGGGGGCAGTACCCAAGTTATAGTCTAGACTCCTAGTATCCCCCTGAATAAGCCTTATTATACTCCCCTATAGAATCCCTAAGTGGTAATTTCCCAAAAACAGGGGGACCTATAGACCCCGAAATACTATAATCCTTTTTATGGGGATCCCCAAAAAGCTACCTCTAATTTTGGGAAGCCCCCATATATGCGTATAGGTGTTTTCAAGGAGTTTAGATTATGGCGCATTTCTTGTCGGGATTGCAGGAGTTTGGGGTTCCAAGTGTTCAGGGTTCCAGGGGTTTAAGGGTTCAGGGATTTAGGGCCTACGGTTGCAGAAGTTCAGGGTTTAGGGTTTAGGACGCATCAGGGCTCACGGTTTAGGAGTTTGAGGTGTCAACATGAGTACCACTCTGAGGTCTACTTCCCATCTCAATGCATAGGTGGCTCGCTGTTGGGGCTAAAGGATATTGTTTTGGGAGGCTTCTGATAGGGATCTGTTTCCTCGCGCGCGACAAATCAAACGAGCTAGATATTTGAGCGCCAGGGGTCTCCGGGTTTTACGCCAGCTTCATGGTTGCAGGATGCTCAAATTGAGGGGGGTTGCGTGTCTTTATGAAGGTTGCCACTCCCGCCAGCTACCCGAGACCCGCATGTATGGATACACAGTTGTCGATGTAACATCGGATTGAAGTGTCTCGGGCTGAGGGTTTGGCATTGCCTCGCATGCGCTTGAGCACAGCTTGTTCTTTAAGTGAGCTATAATCTAAACTCCTAACATCCCCCTTAACGACCCATTTATAGAGGGCGCACGCGAAGGCTTTTT